ACACACGTCTTAGTTCAGCCTCTTTGTAGAACGACTTGGCAGACTTGTCCTAGAAGGGCCATGGGTTAATTGTATCTATAGTTTAAAAAAAAAATTAACATTGTACTCACCACAGTAACAGGGTCTGGCAACATTGGGGCGTTAAAGGATCAGTGTGTAAGATTTAGGTGAAAGGGATCTTTTGGCAGAAATTGAATATAAAATAATCCTAGTGATGTTTTGACAAGTGTGTTTTATCTAAATTGTACGAATTCTTATTTCCTTTATCCTAGAATTGGCCCTTTATATTTAAATACTTTATATTTACATCAGGAGCGGGTCCTCTATATGAAAGCTGCCATGTTTTTTACATTAGCCCAGACTAGACAAACTAAAAAACACCTTTTGAGTTTTTATGACAACTGAAGGCTGCAACAGGTTCTCGTTCATGTTTGGAAAAGGAGGGTGAGGTGAGGGGTGTTCAGCTGCAACATGCACCTTCACCACTAGATGTCACTAAATTCTACACACTGTACCTTTAAGACATGTTTGGGTATAGATGCTCCACTTGGCTTTATTTAGTTTTCCTAAAAAAATCAGAGTGTCTGATCACATTAGACTGTGTACTAGTGCCACTAACAACGAAAAGGTGACCATTTATTTACCTTAAACCTCCAGATCCTCTTGCCAAGCTCACTCACAAGTCAGCTGTGCCAGATAAGTCTTCGGCACTGAACCTGAGCCGCTATCTGAAACAGTGGCTAGTGAGTACCAAAGCAGCCGGACTGGACGGGACGACAAAAACCACTACAGGGACTCTCCCTGCCAGCACCAGGGCTGGGAGATGGAGGAGCAGCTCTGAGGAGGCCGGTCCAGGTAGAACAGCCCACATGCTGAAGATGATCTCAGCCCTGGAGGGGCTGCACAGGACATTGAACAGCACGCTGAGCTCACGGATCACCATCATGCCTCGAGGTAAAAAAAATCTCAAATTGGTGGAAGATTCTTGAAACACTTGAATTCATTGTAACATTAAACAAGTGCAGCTGCAATGTGTATTGCATAGAATATTGCAATAATGCTACCAGTGGTGTAGTAGTATTGACCACAGTGTTGCAGTTGGCCTGTCACTTGATCGGTTGTAGTGTAATATGGTATTTAGCAATCGTGGTCTCCAGAGGATGCATGTCGCTGACTTTGCTGAATCCCTGATTTTTCCCTGACATCTATTTTTTTCTGTCATTACAGCACATGGCAGAGGTTCAGGACGAAAAAATAAAATGGTGAGTTCATGTAAAATATTTGCACTCATACTTTGCCTTAATTACTCTATTTATTTGTATATTATTTGGCTAACAAATATGCTGGAAGTGGTATTTGAAGATACCCCTTCTGGTGGATTTTGCATGTTTGCAAGTAGAACCTGTTGTCGAGGGACAAAATTTTGGGGCCAGAACCTTCCTTTTCTAGTTTGACCAAAGAAATGATGAAGAAAATATTTGCAGTTGCCCAAGAGGCTAAAGAGAACTTTGAATTTTCATTTAGGGATAAATGCTTGATCAAATGTGACGCTGGTGTCCAAGCTACAGGGTGATATGATGTAAGCAGGGCCAGTTTTTAAGCCTGTGGGAGAGGGGACCAGTCAACGATGTATTTACATTCAAAAGCACAGAATGACTAAAATATATAATCAAGTAAAGATACAGAAGAGAGAAAACATCCAGAGGGTTTCAGCTCTCTATATTCACCCCTCATGCTTTTTTCTGTTGCTGCCTTGGACAAAGCTCCCCAACGCTGAGGGAGGGGTGAAGCCCACCACTGCACCCCCAGCAGACAGCACTGCGTCCAGAGCGAGCGCAGACGTCAACGTGCCCAGCCTGACTGGTCGCAACTTCAGGAAGTCCCTCCCACCACAGAACAAGAAGACTAACAAAAGAGGTGAGAGGCAAATTCCATTTTATATCTCTGCAAGGAGGTCAACATGTTGTATTCACGTTTTCAAGCAGCAGTCGGAAGATGTGAATAATTGTTGGACATTTAAAAAAAAAAAGGTTTTATTGTTTGTACTTGTATATGATGATGTTCTTCTTTTTTGTGTGTCTTCAACAGTGTGTTTCTGGAAGTACTGCTCCCAGAACTGACCACGTCCCAGCCAGTGTTGTCCTGCTGCTGGTCCACCTTTTAGTCCTCCTCACCCTCCCCATCCATTTATCATTCCATCCATCCGTCCGTCCCCCTTAATATAAAATGTTTCCAAATGACATGAAATAAAACAGTAATATGAAGCAGCTATGTTTCATAAATCCAATTTACAGGTTGAAGTTTGCAAAAGCAATGTACATTGCAATAAATGTTCATTTAGAATAATAAATTGTCACTTCAGCTGTAACGCAACTGCAGCTGAGTTACGTCGTTAATAATTCACTGACAAATTCTCTAAAAAACTTAAAAGAGTGCATTCGATGTGACAGTTTGTGACAAAAGTGGTTTTAGAGCATTTTAGTAGGTACAAGATTAGCACTCATTTACATTATGGTGTTGGTTCACATCCAGTTAAGTGATGCTTGCTGGACCCAGAGTCTTCACTGCAGATAGGTTAAGAGTTTTTAAGTTTGCCATCGTATAATGCATATCTGCCACTATAACCAATTGATTAATATATATGTCCTTGTTTTGGTTTCCAAATTAACAAATCTGTTTTTGTTGCTGCATCTGCAACCTTTACGGTTTTTTTATGTTGCACCGTCACTGCCAGGTTCCGGTGCATTGTTAGTGACTGTATTACACCATGGCTTGTTAAACCCAGGGAGTCAGGGAGAGTATGTTTTACATTGGATGTGAACTAATCCACCCCATGCAGTATTATAGTCTTAAAAAAAAGAAACTGTTTGTAACTTTGATTCATTTAGATGAATATGTGTACAGATAAATTAGTAGAGTATCGGTGTAGGCCTTCAGAAGCTGACCGTGCTTGAACTGTGGTTTCATCCATCCCTTCATACATCCATATTCATCCCTCCGTCCCCGCCGCCCGTGTCCTTTCCTCTCCTCTGTCTCTCCTCTGACCTCTGAGTGCTAAGAGACTGTCGCCATGGCATCAGAGACCCCTGTGGCCCCCTCCCTCCAACACCGGCGCCAGCCTGGACTCAGACCTTTTCATTCACTCATTAATTAACACGACTGACCAATCAAAGAAGACGATGTGCGCCTGTGGCCGGCGCATGAATGCCTTTTAACCCTCTCTTTTCCCTTTTGAGACAGACACACGTCATTTTTGTATGTGTGTGAGCGAATTTCAAAATAAAGTTCATCTCTGGCATGGCAAAACCCTGCTGTCACAATAAAGATTGATATTTTATTTTTCTACAATGACACTCTTGTTAGTTGTTCATTGTGTAGACAGGTCACATGACCAGTAAGAATACTTCATTTTATCATAGAAAGTTTTCTTTTACAGTGTTTTAGAAAGAAAATACTTTTATGAGTGTACAAAATAAGATTACTGCAAAATTAGCTGTAACATGGCCCTCACATCACTAAAGATTACATAGCAGCTGAAATAGAATCCATTGCTCCATTCAAGTATTGAAATATAGAAACCTGTAGATGTGAATCGGCTGTTCCACTGGGCTATAACTCTGATTCAATGAGGATGAACTCTGGGTAATTCATTTATTTCCCAAACTGTAGATTTACTGTGCCGCACCTCTGCAGTCGTAGTATTTGAAGTGTGGCTCTACAGATTGTTATTCGTCTCAACGCGGTAAGAACAGTGGGGCATTCTTCCTGCGGATGTTTCTATGGTAATTGAGCTGTATGTGTTTGCTGTCTGGGTGTGTAAACTCTGGGTCATTACATTCTGGGGGTTTCAACAGAGGTCACTTATCACTGTTGCCCCAGTGATGCGTGCGTGAGTCTGCACATGCTCGAGTGTTTACACGTGCTTAAAATGTGTTGAATATACTTGCTCTTGCGCAAACAATTATTTTTGGATTCTTTGAGCAAAGAGTGATGAAGTATTGCTTTTAGCAATGTGTGCTGGAGAAACCATTTAAAATGATAATTAACACATTTTTATTTTTAAAAAAAGATTTTGATATCTGAATGAAGTCTCTTATAGTTTAGGACTATACCCAACGAAACTCCAGTGCTGTCGCTTCCATGCTATGATGGAAATCCTCCAAAGACGTGTTTATAAATGTATAAACCTGTTTGCCAAGAAAATGTTTTGGCATGTAACTGCCCCTAAAATCAATAATGATAGTTTTTACAGTCAGATCCAGGAGAGATCCAGGTTCACTGTTCACCCTTCGTCCAGTCCAATTCATTATTTGGTCATAATTAAGTAAAAGCCTATTATTATAATATCAGTACATCGAGGCCTTTCACATTCAGAAAGTCCTGAGGTAGCTCTGATCTTGGTCCAGTAAACTTTGAGGTTAATGTGTACTATAATCATGCGTTCTGAGATTTGCAAATACGTAGAGGAATCTGCAAACGTGTTTTCAGAATATGTGTGAGCATGATGAGATTTGTGCACGTGTAAACAAATGGGCAAATGTGAGCATAGATCTATAAATATGTAGAGAAATCTGCAAACGGGTGCATAGACCATAGATTTCAGATCAGTTGACAAGTGTACAAATCCCAATGCAAATATATACAGATTTTTAATACATACAAATCTGTACATTCTTTTAATTCAAGTTAAATATGAAGCAACTGCTGATGCGATAACATGACAGTACTGCCAGTCACCACTGAGTGGAGCTCACGAGTCAGTGGCACTGAGACTCATAAGAACCAACACCATCATTTTGCACTGCATTATTTGAACTACCATGGATGTAAGCAATTAGCTTCATTTAAATTATTCTCATTGAATGGCAAGATGTCACAACTCCCTGAAATGATTATGACAGACACACAGAGAATCATTGAAGACAACTCACAGAGTGATAAAATCAATATTTAATAAAGATTATCCCCCCCAGAGAGGATATAAGGCCAGAACACAGCATATGGCGTCAGGGTTGGTTAATGTTGGACTGCATTCAAGGGAATAAAAAGGACATTCCTGGATAAGTTGTCTGAATCAGATTGTGGGGTTTGGGGATGATTTCTCCTTCATTCTAGATTCTGATATCCCCGGAATGCTTTCAGGTAAATGTAATATGGGCCACATTAATTGATTAAAACACAGCAAACAAAATGAGCCATTTTTTATTGTATGTAATGCATTAAACATGAAAAAATATCAGCAGTCCCCACAGGAAACACATTATGATTTACTTATCGTGTCCTAGTTAGCTTCCTTTTAAAGATTAGGTCATTTGATACTCATAGAGACATTGTCCTAGTGCTCGTATTTTACATGTACCACTACAAAAATGCAGTTATTAGATTGAGAGTGATTGACGTAGTTTATAGTGGTTAATCAAACGCTTTGCTAAAAGTTAATTTCTTAATTTTTCCTCCTGTAATACTGAGTGAAAATGCATACGAGCTGCATACGTGTGCTACTTATTCTGTTTCTCGCAGTGAACCTGGTCCTGCCATCGTCTGAAAAGTGAATATGAAGGGAATCAGGAATTAATTCTGCAAGCAGATCTCTAATTTATAGATTACTTGTAGAACGATTAGCATAAGATACAGAAGATAACGGTGCAACCCAACCTGTGAGAGCACACACACACACACACACACACACACACACACACACAGGTACAATCAGCATTCCACTCGTCAATGCAGAGCTATCAAACTCAAGGAATTAAAAGATGTTTTGGTGTTAGGGTGGCGTTCTGTGCGTTCTTCTCATCCTCCTTTTATTCACCTGTTGCTTCTGCATCTCTTCATCCTTCTCTTTACTCTTCACATGATCAATTCAGCGTCACCCAAACACCTTACAGTCGTGTTTCTGACTGTTCTACTTTATTTCTAACCTCTTGTTGCTTTTTATGTTTTCTGTTGTAACCATTTGCTGCTTTTTCACAACTCTCTGTTTTATCTCATTCATCCATCTCCATTCTTTCCTTCCTCTCAAACCCCTTGCTCTCATTTGATCCGCTTTGCAACATCCAGGTAGGCAAATTCGATCTCCCGCTCGGCGGGGCACGTGCTGGTGAACTCCTCCCTCTGATAGGCGCAGTTCAAATACCTCCACACCCCCGTCATTTCCGCCGGGATCTCAAAGCCGCGGTATTTCTTAGCTACGACCTAGAGACAGTTGAAAGAAAATTGGAACAGTCCAAATACTCTCAAACTCCACTCTTGATGTAGAGCTGGCATATGAAAATGAGGTTGACTTAACCTTAAGGATGTGTAGTTTGGGCAGGAGGTTGCAGTCAGCCAGGGTGAGCTCAGCCCCGTCTAGGAAACTCCTGGAAGACTCGGGGAGGTCGCCTGAGGCGTAAGCATCAATCTCCTCAGGCAGGGGAGTCCGCAGGAAGTCATCAAGACGCCGAAGAGACTTTAGCAAGGCTTTCTCTAAGGCTGCACGGACAGATGGAGTCACAGAGGTACGGAGAACAAAAGAAGTGGACAAATGACACAATCATTTTAAAGCTTAACCACAAAAACACTGTTAAAGCTGATTTAGCTTGTACGTTTGGCCACTTTGGGGCAGCAGAACACCATTACTTACTTAATAGAGTCGGTGATTATTCTGAAGACACAGAAAATGTATATTAGCTTGTAGTTAAATCAATGGAAACTGCTCTCTTACCGTCGTTGGTGTCTTTTCTTGGGTTTTTGATGTAAGCTGAGAACTTGGCAAACACGTCGATGCCGGCAGTGTTGGCCTGTCGATGTTTCGGAGCCAGCCTGGGGTAGCTAGTGTAAAACAGAGATCGAAGAATCAGCCTGCATTTATTTTTCTTTTATCATTGATGCTCATTTGTTGTACTGTACTGGTACGGTGTGAAATTAGCATCCAATAGACATATCGTTATATGCATAACATTCTAGATGAGCAATTTTCAGCTGTATTTCTTGTGTGTGAAAAAACACAGTTGGAATCATAGGTAAGGTTTAAAGGTGGTGTTACAAGCAATAAAGGATGTTATAATGAAAGATATTCTAAGGACCTGAATGAACCTGAAGAGAACAATGGAAGCTGTGGCCTAAAAACACTGCTGTGTGCCAGGGCAAATATCTGGCACCTTACTAGTAAGGGACACACCGCCACATGTTTTTTTATAGCTTAAGTGACAAGAACAGATACATTATTCAGATACATCATGTGTGTTTGTGTACCGCGGCGGGGTCAGTTTCTCCTCCAGGAACTCCTCGATCATGTTGACGTCCACCTTGACCTCGCCGTTAAAGGTCACAAACGGAGGGTTGGTTCCTGGAGCGAGGTCCTGCAGGTCAGCCGGCTTTCTGAAAATGTCAAATGCAGACAATCACAAAGCTTGCGATGAAAACAATTGCAAACTTCACTGTGTTTAAAAGATGTTTTACAGAATCTGTATCCTTCTTTTATTAAACTGTGACTTTTACCACAGCTTTGATCTCTCAATTGCGATAGGACCAAAACAGGGATATGACCAATTGTAAGACAATAAAATAGGTGTAATTTGAAATATACAGCTTCCCGTAAGTTAAAGGTCCAGTGTGTAAGATTTAGGTGAAAGGGAACTATTTAATGTAGAATAATTCTTATGATGTTTTCATTAGTTCATTTCATCTAAATTGTATGAATTGTAGTTTTCTTTACCCCAGAAAAGACCCTTTATATTTAAATACTTTATATTTACATCGAGGGGTTTTTTACATTAGTCCAGACTGGACAAACTAAACACCTTTTGAGTTTTTATGACAACTGAAGCTACCACAGGTTCTTTTTCATGTTTGGAAGGAGAGGGTGAGGTGAGGGGTGTTCAGCTGCAACATGCAATATCAACACTTGATATCAAATAAATGCTACACATTGTACCTTTCATCGGCATTGCACATCTTCCGTTTATCTCATGTTCTGATTTTAACATGGGTTGCGATCAATAGTCATGCTGCTGCATCGAAACTGAAGCAACAAGTATATAGAGTCTTTTTTAGTTTTAGTCATTTTTAATTTGATAAAATGAGCAGAACAAGACTGAACAGAAATGGATTTAATTCAATTCAGTACAATTTTATTTGCATGGCACCAAGTCACACATTATTTCAAATCACCTTACTTTAGGGGACTGAAAAGTTGATTCAGATTTTATACAAAGTCATCTAAGCCAGACGTTTGTCATAGGATAGCATCTGTTTTAGTAGTATAGTAGTATAGTAGTTAAGTATTCTTTATTTTTTACTGCACATGTTTCTGTCATTCTTATTAAATCAATAATTGTCTAATAAGATAATGACTGCATGTGGGTGTAGTAGATTACCGTTTGAGGTCGACAGTGGTGACGTTGAAGATGACTCCTTTAAGCCACAGGATCATAAAGAGTCTCTGAGAGAATGGACAGTTACCAATGCTCTCTCCGTCACTTCCCGCCTACACACACACACACACACACATGCATGCATGCACACACAAAAAGACACACACACACATTCCAGTTCAGAAATGAGAGAATGTTTCAGCTCAGCTATACAAATCCTGAGTGAGGATATGATAATGAAGCTATTCACTGGGTTTAATCTGCACCCGCACAACAGGCGATAACAAAAATATCAAATATGAAAGGAAAGTGAATTAATTCTCCCTTTATGTTCGTCTCATCAGACAATAAGTGATGAGACAAGAGCAATCCAAACAACAGACTCTTTTGACAGACCCACCCAAAATATATGGAGAAGATGTCTGTGCTGCTGGGGCGACATCATAGTGGTCAGTAGATAAGGAGTGAATTTTCAGTTTTGGGTGAACTATCCCTTCAAGTATCCGATTTGAGACACAGGAAGTGAAGAGTATCTGACATCATCATCATCATGGGGAACACAGCAAGGACACTGAACCAGAAACTGAATGAAGACCATAAACATCAGCCGTTGGGTGTCAGACCACCCCAACACTTGTTATCAACTTAGGTCACATGATGACACCTGGGCACACTGGGACACTATGTGGATGAAGTCCATGAGATGTAGTTAAAAGCTCCAAAGAAGGTAGTAATTGGACCTTGAGTTCAAGGTAATGGTCAGCATAGAAGTATGAGCATTTAGCAAGCAATCTGCTTCAGTGAATATAATCAGTAGGGTGTACATATTTACAACGTCACTTACCTTTACAAACAACTCAATGGTAGGAAAGCCAAGTTTTTTAACTGCTACGTCAAACCAGGACATGGTGGACAGTCCACGTGTTACACTAAAATCATTCTAGAGACACTTTCTATCTATTATAGAAGTACAATCCACGATTAATCCATATCACCCGCCGGGTCATCTCCCAATTAAGCCATGAAAAACAAACACCAGCTCCATGTCTGTCTGTGTCTGTGTGTCCCACTGACTCAAAATGGAAGGCGCAGAACAGAGGCCCATCAGAAAGGAGTGGGTGGCAATGGAATCTCAACTTCAGCACACACACACACACACACACACTTGCCAGTGGACCCATCCCAGCGGCCCATCAGTCTGACATTAAGCAGGATTCGAAATTTTCCTTTGCAGTCAGATCTGATCGTCCATGCTGCAGCCATATTTTTTATTTCTCATAAATCCTCTCAAGGCCGTTCAAGCCTAACAAGTTCCAACATCAATGAAGGCATCACCATTCTAGACTCAGCAGTTGGTGCAACAGTGTATGACTGACAAACACTTCAGTTCATAGACCATTCTAATGTTCTGATAACATTAGCGATCTGATGTTCTGCTCTCTGCTGTCAAATAAACTCAAGATCTCTCTTTATCATAGCTGAACATTTGATCCTCTCCGAAGCATAAACTGTATATAAAGATTGCTCCCTTCTATTTCACTCCCCTCTCAGAATTCAATGCACACCAGCCACACTTAGCTTTTATTTATTTTCGGGGCCTGCTGGGGGGTAAGGCTAAGTGCAGCTCAAAGGATCAACATTAGACTGACTAACCGGAACAGACCTGATTTTTAAATAATAGTCAAATATAGGCCTTATATATATATGTGTGTATAAACCTTGATGAGTATTCATGGATAACTTGTTCTTGTTGTCCTTGTTGTGCATGTTTACCGCCTGTTCAAGATCATGTAAAGGCAGTATTTATTTGGAGGAGAGCCTGTGTTGTTGTTGCACCGCTGTGTGACCAGACCTCTCAGGACCAAACAGCAGGCTAATCAGCTTGTAGAGTGAGAATGCAGAGATTAACCCTGCATGCTACTGGCAACAGCATAGAGCTTTTGTACTATTCAGTCATTAGTGCCTCAAACATGTTTCCTTGGATACATCCTAGTGGCTGTCATTTTGTAGTCTGTATTTTATAGTAAATATGTCAAGCTTAGACATAATTTGGTGCGTGTTCCTGTATGTTTATTGTCTCGGTGGAGGTGAACAAAGCCAGTCAGAGCTGCGTACATTGAGGCCCGCTGAGTCCAAGGACTTCAGAAAGATGCTTGACCTTTTCCATAATATTTCCATCCACTCCAGTCTATGCTGCCAGCAGAGTCCCTGACAAAGGAAGCCATTGTTTGACTGTGAGCTCCCACAGAGAACAAGCTCGCTGTGTGTATGTGTGAAGCAGCTCTCAGATATTAGTGCATTTTTTTCTTGGTGTTAAACCTCTCGGCTGACCCTCGGATGGCTGCCCTCTTTTATTCTCACCTCAGTCAGGAATGTGCTGCTGAACCACAGAGCAAAACCTCTCTGTGTGTATGTGTGCAGGTTGAGATGATCTATAAATTAGCGTTATTTGCAGCGGTTATGGAAAAAAGAACTGATTATTATAAATATCACATCACAAAGATCACATTTTATTTCTAACAAGGATGCTGCACTAGCTAATATTCCATGAATATGGTCGATTACAGTGCGTTCCTATTATTTTGTCTATTACTTTTAGAATTGCATGCGTGCAGCAATGCAGGATACCTGATGGATTAGGATATCACTGTCTTAATGGGATAAGGTAAGTAGATCAAGATAGGTTGTCTCCCTCACTTGCTTTTTCTGTAACGCACACAGAAGCAATACACAAACACACACGCGAGCGCTCATACGCACACGCACTCACAAATCACGGTTGACCACTTAATAAAACGCTATGAATGGTATGAAAGTACACTGGTCCAGAGCTGCTCATATGCTGCTATTATCTGGCCTTAGGGCAGTCGAGTACAGCCTGGAGCAAGCTTACAGCTTGGGGCTCTACAGTGCCAAAAAGTTCAAGTGCACTGACACTTACCCAGCTGGCTGCATGTTCTTTCAGGAATGTAAAAGTTACCAAACCAATTTCTTATGCTGAATGAATATATTCAGGACAGTACATGTCAAGTGTAATGGATCCTGCTTGAGCCCATTTATGAGATTTTTGATCCAGGACATCAGGGACTTTACCTGCCACATGTCAACACACACCATTATCTGTGAACTCAACAGTGTACTCTTGAGCATTGCTGTGTATCGAAGTGGTATACAGGAAAAATAATATTGATTTGGCTTTTGCAATTAACAATCAACCGTTAGATGGTGTCAACGTTTTTGCCAGATGACTGTGGTTTAAAGGTTTAAAGCTCTATAAGGTTGTTTTTGCGGTGTTAGAACTCTTAAAGGCATTATGGTCTGTGGCCTTTACCAAGGAACTATGGAGGAACCCTCAGTTTTCATCCTACAGTGTTATTGACTCTGGGTGGTCATTCGACATGTGTACATATCTATGTTTTGAAGAGGCTCCTCACCTTGACATAGAGTGAGATCTCATAGTCCTGATCTTGGGGTGTTCTGATGTTCCTCATGTGAACAGGAGAAAAAGGGCTGTTCACTCTCCTATGGGAGATTAGTTTCAACTCCTCTTTCTTCTCCTCAGTCATCTCCTCCCGCTGCGGGAAATATGAATGGCCATCTTCGAGCAGCACCACTCGCTTTCTTTTCACATGCTCATCTCTGTTTTTGGGCAGGGATTCATCTTTTATCACTGACTTTAGCTCTTTTATCCAGTCCTCCCTCCTTAGCAGACTCTTCTCCTCTGGTGATGATTCCCTCCTCCATTCCCTCCTTCCCCTTTCAGTGTCACATTTGTCTTTTTTCACTGGCTTCAAATCTTTCCTCCAGTCTTTCATTTCTGGTGCTCTCTCGTCCTCAGGCTGATTTCTCCTCGGTGACCGCCTTCTTGCTGTCTCCCATCCCTCTTTCCTGACTGGTTGTGGCTCGGGAGACAAGATCCCATTCTCCATTTCCTGCTTCAGTCCTTTAACTCTTCCATTTACATCTAATTCTTCTGCTGTATTGTCATCCTTTTGCTTCTTTTCCTTCTCTTCCTCTCCTTGTTCATCTTTTTGCTTCTCTTCTTTTGCTTTACTTGGTTCAACCGTCTCAACTTCTATCTTTTGACATTCTTCCTTTGTCTCCATTATGCCTTCTTTAGAAGTGACTGTAAGGGTGGAAGGCTTTTGTTCATCAAGTTCACTAGTCTGAGTCTCCTCTATCTCTTCAATCTCATCATCTAAAACTGTCACAGGTTCTTCTGCTGTCTCTTCTTCTCCCACCATTGCCACTTTATCTAATTGACCCCCACTCTCACCTTTTACAAGGGTCGTCCCTCTTGGCTGTTCTCTCAAGTTGTCTGCCCATGCTTCTATGAGCAGTTGTGACAGTTGTTTCTGAAAATCACCACCCCCCTGTTTTGTGGACTCATTCTCCTCTGACACAACTTCACCTCCTGGCTGGTCAAGTTCAACTTCACCCTCTTCCTCCGGTTCGAAGGCCTCCTCCACCTGATCCAAATGCACATCCTGCTGTGCATCTAAAGGTAGCTCCTCTACACTCTGCACTTCTGGTTCTGGAGGTTCTACCATTTCAAGCTTAACAATAGATTCTTCCTGCATTTCTTCATCACCTCTTCCTATGTGCTCTTCCTCACCCATTAACTCTTGCATAACATCAGTCGTGTTCTCCTTCATCTCTATAATTCCTGCTGCCCCATCATGAGCATTAACACCAACCTTTTGCACTTGCTCTTTCTGGTTAATCCCTTCGTCAACCCATCCTTCTGTCTGTGACGGCTCTTCAGGAGGTACGAAGGCTAACTCTGGTTGCTCTACCTTTAGATTTGCTTCACCCCCATTGTCCAGAACGTCAGGAGCTGACATTGCATTCTTCATTAACTCCTCGGTTCCCTCATCCTCAATGTTTGCTTCAATGGGATCTATCTGTTGCCAAATAATGTTGTTATTAGTTGACTCAACTTCCTGTTTGCTGGATTCTAAGTTTATCTTCTCATCTGTGTAAGTCATGCCATCTTGATTCTCACTGATTAACTGGTTGGTCTGAATGCTCACCATCTCAATTGTACCAGGTGTATTGAATAGTGGGCCACTATTATCAACAGAGGTTTGGCATAGATCTTTTTGAATGTTAACTGGCTCATCTGGGCATGCGGTAACGCAGATTGCATCTGTTGTTGACTCCTCAATGTTTTCTGTCTCCTCACTATTAGTGAGAAGAACAACTTCTGTTTTGTTGTTGTCATCAGTAGACAACTGTGCATCCTCCCCTGACTCCTCTATGATACTTAAATCTTGAAGATTATCTGTATCATCTGCAGAGGACATAATCTGGTGTTCTTCTAACCCATCATCTCCTTCATTAGTCTCTTCCTCCATTGTCTCTGTTTTGGATCTTTCAGTGAAGGCCTCTTGGGTATTTTCTTCACTTTCTCTGTTCTCATTTTCCCCAAATATCTGATTTTGAGAGATAATACTGACTGATGAAAATGTACATGGATTATCAGTCATTGCCTTTGTGTCTTTTGACTCTTCTTCTTCTTCTTCTTTGTCTTCACATTCTTTCTGTCTTGATTGGTCTTCTATCTTTTCATGCTCTTCATCTGCCATTTCTGCTCCTCCCTCCCCATTTTCCTCTAGTGTTTCATTACCTCCATCCTCGTCTCTTATTACTCCATTTGGTAACTGGTCCTCTTGTATAATCTTCACTTCCTCCCTTTCATCCCGTGCTCCAAGTTCTTCTTTTTTATGCTCCTCTCCTGCTTCAGCCATCATCAAAACATCCTCCCCTACCTCCTCAGCTAGTTCCACCTCATCATCGTCCTCTTCTCCTTCCCCACCCTCTCTTCCTTTCTGGGTATCCAGGTCTGAACAAATACCCAGTGGGCTGTGGACAATGGCAGCATTTGATAGGTCTTGGTTTGGACAGGAACCTGATTGAGCCATAGGAACTTTCAAAGAAAAGATGGGACTCTATAGGGTCAGTATGCAGTTCCACAAGATGTACAATTGATTTTAGAGCTACAAGACTAAAATCGCAGAGTTCCCAGTTTGGGTCAAAAGTATAACAGCGTGAAT